CTCTGAGAGCAGGTGTGAGAGTCGAGTAGCGAAAGCGCTGGCTGTCTGTTGTGATTGCAGCTTTTCGACGTTAAGCTTTCCTTGCATATTTGGGCGCACATTTTTTGCTGCACAGAGGCGGGTGCGTATCTTGGCTGCAACAAGATAGTGGTCCGAGTCGATGTTTGGGCCTCGGAGTGTGCGTACGTCTAAAACACTGGAAGCGTGCCTTCCGTCTATCACAACATGATCGATTTGGTTTCTCGTTTTTCGATCCGGAGACAGCCAGGTAGCTTGATGGATCTTTTTATGCTTGAACCTAGTACTGCATACTACCATGTTTCGGGCCCCGGCGAAGTCGATCAGCCTCAATCCGTTGTCGGACGTTTCGTCGTGGAGGCTGAATTTTCCGACGGTGGTTCCAAAGATCCCTTCTTTGCCCACCCTGGCATTGAAGTCGCCAAGCACGATTTTGATATCATGACGGGGGCAGCGCTCGTACGTGCGCTCCAAGCGCTCATAGAAGAGATCCTTGGATGCCTCATCCTTCTCTTCCGTCGGGGCATGGGCGCAGATGAGCGAGATGTTGAAGAATCTCGCTTTGATGCGGATTGTGGCTAGACGCTCGTCCACCGGGGTGAACGACAGTACTCGGCGACGGAGTCTCTCTCCCACCACAAATCCAACTCCGAATTTGCGCTCCTTTACATGGCAGCTGTAGTAGACGTCGCAAGGCCCCAGACATTGTTTGCCTTGCCCCGTCCAACGCATTTCTTGGATGGCGGTGATGTCAGCTTTTGTCCTTACGAGGACATCAACCAGCCGGGCAGAGGCACCTTCCCCATTAAGGGTCCGGACATTCCTGGTGCATGCCCTCAAATCGTAGTCCTTTAAACATTTGCCGTGGTCGTCATCATAAGGGGGGTCTCATCCGAGGCTTTGCCTTCACTGGAAGTGGTTTTTACGTGGCGGGTCCCAAGCCCAGCGCACAACCCATTGCTGGGACATAATACGTGCTTACTCAATATTCCTATATTGTGGGTGTATAATACGTGCTTACTCAATATTCCTGCTATTAAAAGTAAGCCCTGTAAACTCCCCTGGTATACTAAAGGGCTAAAAAAAAGTTAAAAACCTTAGAAACAAATATTATAAGAAGTTTAGATTAACTAATAACCAAGTTTTCTATTGGATAAATTCTTGTATAGAAACTATATTCTTAGGTTCGAAATCAATATTAAGTCTGATCCCAAGGCCTTCTTNCTGCAAATTAACACATTTAAAAACAAGCTCGATAGATTGTTGGATCTGATCTTTGGTAGTGACAATATAAATTTTAATCTGTCTAAATGTTGCCCCCAGTCACGTCCTCGGATATGCATCATGTTCGTTTGGTTCTTAATGTAGAATTTTATGAGTTAACCTCTGGAAATTTAGTAGATAAAATTGCCTTCAACTTTAAACGGTGTGATTTTGCAAGCCTGGGCAGTCTATTTGCCGAGTTTAGTTGGGAAGAGCAGCTTTCGGGCACTGATGTCGCCGAGTGCTTTAATGCTTTCAGGTCNAATTCCGCACTCAGTTTTGGTTCGGTTGCACTTACTTCTGATGATATCTTTATCGTAACGGACTTTGATGGTCTCTCGGTTCTTTTATTAAAAATTTGTCCCGCTCTGGTACTTTCGCTGAAAATGATCTTCAATAAATCTTTGTATTTTGGAAAATTCATTGATGCCTGGAAACTGGCTTCAATAAACCCTATATTTAAGAATGGCAACAAGAATGATGTTAGCAATTATAGACCTATTTCGAAACTCACAAATGTATCTAAGCTCTTTGAAATTGTCGTCAAAGATAAAATGTATTTCTCAGTTAAGAGTTTAATTAGCCAAAATCAACATGGGTTTGTGACGGGTCGTTCCACAGTTACAAATCTGGCAGTCTTTAGCGAATATTGCATCTCAGCATTTTCTTCAGGATGTCAAGTTGATTGCATCTACACCGACGTTTCGAAAGCCTTCGACAAAGTTTCGCACATGGTGTTGATTGACAAACTCGCATGCCTTGACTTCCACTCATCCTTTCTGCAATGGCTCCAGTCATACTTGAATCGACGACGGTGTGTTGTAACTGTGGATAACGCGCAATCAGAACCTTTTTTCGCTACTTCCGGAGTTCCATAAGGTAGCGTTCTAGGTCCCTTGCTTTTTATATTATTTATAAATGACATCGGTTCTTGCTTTTCTTTTGCTAATTTTATTTTATATGCAGATGACTTGAAGATTTATTCAACTGTTAAGAAGTCTTCTGACATGAAAAAGCTCCAATCCGAGCTGCTATATACCAGAGATGTAAAAGAATGCATTCTTTTGTGAATAATTATTAACTTGATTTATCGTAAAATGATTGCAGCCATTTTTTGAATTCTTTGACTGGGACTCCAAAAATGAAGTCACCATTCAGACTTCATTTTGTGACTTCGAATTCTTTTTTCATTCATTTTTTGGTTATTCATGTATTGCATTCATTGAATAAAAAGTCTCACTGAAGTCAATTGAAGTCAGTAGGAGTCATATGGAGTCATTTGAAGTCAATTTACCTGTGGTATACGAGACATGATCGCAAACTATTTTTACTCAAACAATACTTATTAAACTGTAAAATATATTATACAAATAATTCATTATGGATCTTGTTAGTACTCTTTGTGAAAAGTTAACATGTGTCATATATCCGAATTACAATGTTAAATCTGTTACGATTTTTTTTTCTCTCCGGATTAATACGGCCCTGTATAATACATAATGTGTTATACTTATTTATTTTTCTCTTCTAACTTTACAAAGAAAACATTTTCTAATTGAGTACTACGAGGGTTGGCGTTTATATTTTTCGCCTAATTACGAAATTACAATGCCTTAATATATTCCAATAATTGCCAAAAATTTTAAACTACGGCTCATCAAAGAGAGAAGTTCCTAGGCGTAAAATATAAAGTGCAACCCTCATAAATCACTACACAATGCGTATTGCTATGCAGTTACCGATCGGAGTTATGAATGATCATTCGGCGCTCTGCTTTATTGACTTGAACATAAATATTATTTATTATCAAACATACTTCGAGCACTACGCTCTCATGGTATAAGCCCCCGTATCCCTTCGCACTTTGGTTGTTCATAGCTACATCACTGTACAATATCTCTGGCCGTTCTACTTTCGCTTTCTAAACATTGCAGTTTGTCGCTGCAATGTTTTTATTGTTTTAGCCAATGCACCGCTAATCATCAGCTAATGGAAAAGTGCGTGCATAAAAAACGTAATTTTCGGACCGTCGCGATGCACACTCATATCTTTATCGTTGCAATTCCTCGCTACCCAACAACAACAAGCATCACTCAGCAGCCTTCGATTGGGAATCGCTCTTTCTCCGTTACATTTATTGAATTCTTTGTTAAACTATTTTAATTTTTTAGCATACGCATTCTATTTTCAAGTAACTCTGTAGAGTCCTATTTGAATACTCAAATCGTACGGAGCAATAAATAACCAAATTTGGTTATACGCTTAAAAAGTTTTCGTGATTTTGTTTTGAAGTGTTATAATTTGAAGTGTTAAAAGTGTTAGTTGGATTGTTTAAATTGTAAAATTTAAGTCGAATTGTTAATTGTTCAAATTGTAGTAAAAGTTGAAATTAAAATTTAAAATGTCTAGTGATTCAATTGTTGACTTTTCTTCGGATGACTCGATAATAGATCCCACTTTCATAGTAAGTTTTTAATGGTCATTGATTTGCATATACCAGGGACCGCAAATAACAGTTACTTTTATTATATAAGTTGGCTATAATAGTTATTTTTCAACTTTTAAATTTCGATCGCAATATAAAAGTTATTTTTCAATTTTTAAATTTCGATCGCAAAATAAGAGTTATTTTTAAACTTTTTTATTTCGATCCGAAAATAAGAGTTATCTCTGATTTTTTTTCATATAAAATCGAAAATAAAAGTTTTTCGCGAAGAAAGAAATTTAAATCGAAATTTAAAAATTGGAAAATAACTCTTATTTTGCGATCGAAATTTAAAAATTGAAAAATAACTTTTATTTTTAACTTTTACGGAAAAAATGCAAAAAAAAAATCTTTTCACCAATCGATATCGATAGTAATAAAAAATGTTTCTATGTACTCCTTATGGCAGTAGCACTACCCCTTCATATACATATGTATGTATTTGGAAATTTTAGTGGACTTTAGACCGTTCCGATCATTTTTCCTAAATTATTATTTTTGATTATTTGCGAACAGGCTGAAAGTGGCAAAAACAGGAGAAAGAGATGTTTGCTCGACCAGGCTTCTACTAGTAAGAGATCAAAAACAAGTGACGAGCCATCTTCAACCGGTTTAACAACGAGTGGCAAATCTGAAGAAGCCGTGGATATCGCCACTTTAAGCAATACAATATTTAAATACTTTAAAGTTATTAAGCATGTAGGTTATAAAAAAACTCTTAAAAACTCAACTAGTCAGTCAATATGGCTTAAGTTATTTTTGCAAACATTTTGATGGACGAAAAAAGGCACTTAGAAAGAATAAGACTGACTTTTAAGCAAGGAGTGGAACCGAAACCGTAACCGTAACCGATTAAAACCGATTCATTTTTCAAAACCGAGACCAGAACGTTATTTTGATCGGTTTCACACCTTGCTTGCGGTAGTAAGAAATTTATTTTGATATTTCCTATCTTATTTGACTGAGTAGTTTGGGTTTCCGCAGAGAATTTTTTAATAATTGCTGTTTTAATAGTAACTGTTTATTCTAATGAATATTTTCATGTAGTTGAACAAAACTGACTTTCACCGCAAAAGAAATGGGGTGGTAGCTGAATGCCGCATATGTAAAAAGCATCTGCAAGGTTCGACGCAAATAACTTCGAACTTCGTTCGTCACTTTCGATTAAAACATGTAGACGTTTTTAAAGAATATAAAGAAACAAAATTAGAATTAATGAGTAGACAAACAGCAACATCATTAGTAAATACCACATACACATCCATGATTGACAAGTTAAAAATGGAATTGAGTGATTGCGAATTTTTTTGCACTACAGCAGATGTGTGGTCAACTAAGCACAGAAGTTTTTTTGGCTATACATGTCATTGGCTAGATGACTCTCTCCAAATAAAATCTATTGCTTTGGCATGTAAGAGATTTTTCGGATCACACACATTCGACCGTATACATGATGCAATAATTGAAATTCATACTACTTACGGTCTCACACTAAATAAAATTGTTGCAACCGTTACTGATAATGGGTCAAATTTCGTCAAAGCATTTAAGGAATTTGGTGTTAATACACCTTTAATGTTCCTCGACGCTAATGGCAATAACGACGTTGAAGATTTAGAAGAGATGCAATTGGAAGACTTGTCCACCAATTTTGGCGGAAATACATTGCCGCGACATATAAGATGTGCCACTCACACCCTAAATTTACTGGCTACTACTGATGTGTTGAGAATTTTGAAGACTGATACCTCATATGATAAACATAACAATGTAAGTTATTATAATTTGTTGTCTAGTTTATACGAACATAAAATCGAATTATGTAATTCAAAACGAATTTCTTACGACACATGAAGTAAAACGCAAAAAGTTTTCAAGTCGGTTTGAAAATTCGTTTATAAATGTGTTTCGAAATAAACCGAATTGAACTGAAGCGTTTTATGTATACGTATAAACTAGGTATGTATTGTTATTATGACAAATAATTTAACACTTTCCAAGAGAAATAGGATTATTAAAAGTAAATTAAAATGTTTTATAGGTAATGAAAAAATGCTCTGATATTTGGAACAAAATAAACAGGCCGAAGACTTCTGAGATCATTGTTTCGGTGCTAGGCTCCCAATTGCAATATCCCGTCGTAACGAGATGGAATTCCTTATATGATTCCATTAAAGGTTTAATTTCTCACAAAGAAAAACTAAGCACTTTGTGTGAAAAGCTCGAATTGACGAAGTTTCACGAGAGCGATATAAGGTATTTGGAGGAGTATTTGCAATTGCTGCAACCAATCGCAGATGCTATCCAGTTTTTGCAAAAAGACAACGGGATGGTGTATGGCTTTCTGTTACCTACGCTGGCAACAATTAGATCAAAATATAGGAAAATGCAACTAACTCAGGCCATGCATTATCTTCAGCGAGTAGCGAATCTTTTGGAAGCAGACTTGGAAAAAAGGTTCCATAAATATTTTTGTTTGGAGGAGGTTAATGATGCCATTGTTGCCTCAGCGTTATGTCCTGAGGTAAAACTGAGATGGGTTCGATCCCTAAATCCAGAATTCACAAACGAAAAAGTTGCCGAGGTCAATGAGTTGGTGAAGAGCATTGTGGTGAGCGAATTCAATACAGATACGGAGCGAGTCGATAATAGTGAAGAAACAAATAGTCAATTTTTCGACTTTTCTTTTATAGGTAATGGCAATCTATTTTGTCATACATATGTAATTATAATTAAAATAATTGATAAACATTTTTAACGTCTTTTTCAGATGAGTCTACACAACAACTTGAACTATCGCAATCGTCTATTGAAGGCGAGTTTATAGCCTATATGGTTGATAAGTCTCCGAATATAATCATCTTACACCGCTATCCTACTATTAAAAGGGCGTACATTAAATACAACGCACCTCTGCCTACCTCAGCCCCCGTAGAGAGACTATTTTCGTTTGCCTCCTTACTTAATGCACCACGTCGAGGACATCTATCAGATGACTCATTCGAAAAGCTGTTGCTTTTAAAAGTTAATAATTCACTATAAGTTCCCTTTGTTTATGTTTTGTTAATAATGCATATTGTTTTATAATAAAGTTGTTATTATAGATCATTATAAGTTGTTTGTATAAATTTTGTTGCAAATAGTTAGTGACTTCACTCAAAAAATTAAGTCAGTAAGTGACTTCTCTAAATGACTTCAAAGTCGTGACTTCAAAAAGACTTCAGACTTCATTTTTTTATTCTTTAGTCAAAAAGCTAGTCAATGAGTGCATTCGAAATTGGAGTCATTGAATTCGACTTCAACTGATTGCATTCGCATATGAATGCATTCTTTTACAACCCTGCTATATACCTCTTTCGTACGTTCTCACCTGGAGTATGCAGCAATAATCTGGCGTCCGTTCCACCAGTTCCATATCAATAGGATTGAACGCGTTCAGAAAGTTTTTCTCTAATTTGCCTTACGGTCACTACGCTTTTCTGATCCCATACCCTCATATAATGCGCGCTTATCGCTGATCAATCTAAAATCGTTAGATAAAAGAAGGTCAACATTGTCTCTAACTTTCATTTTTTGCATTATCCAAGGATCTTGTGACTGTCCGCAGCTTTTGGGTAGAATAAATTTTAATGTACCGAGGAGGTATCTGCGTGCTTCCCTGCCTTTCTATGCTGAAAATTTCAGAACGAATTATGCCCGTAATGCACCCATTGGCCGTGCAATTTGCGAATTTAACCAGATCTCAACTACTATCGACCTTGATTTTTCTTTACTCCTGAATTGCCTACTCAGTCCAAAGTAGTTGATGCCCTAGTTTAAGCTTGATTGTTAAATAGTCTGTAAGAAATTATTATCGGTGTTAATGCTGGTTCCCAAGTAAACGGATTCTCTACTTTCTCGAAATTGTAACTGTCAACAGTGACGTGGGTGCCAAGGCGCGAATGTGCTGACTGTTTGTTTGATGACAGGAGATACTTCGTCTTGTCCTCGTTTACACAGCTGGTTCAATAAAAACAAATGAACTGCGTATAACCATCCGTTTTACTGTACAGACTTATCTAAATGTATGTATCTTTACACACAGCGAAAAATACGCGTAAAAAAATGTCAGCGAAGAAAGACTCTTAACATATGTGACGGCAACGAAAGGCGCGTTTACCTCTTTCACGGCGAAGAAAGACGCTTAAACTTATTTTCGAGGTCAAGTATGTTTGCGAGTGTAACAGTATACGAATTCCCCAAAGAATTTTTCCGGAATGATGTTGAATCCATGCCTACGCTTCTTTCTTCGCCAAATTTTCTTCAAGCGTATTGTTTCGTAAATTTTTTGACGCGTCCTTTTTCGCCGTCAAAACACCCATTCGTATCTAGTGACGATAATATTATTAATATTAAGTCGGAGATACTCGCGCTGCAACCTAAGAAAATATATTGTGCTAAATCCTAATTGTAATCACTCCAACCTTAGGCCATTTAAAAAGCTCAACACTTTGGATGATCAATGTTTCAAATTTCAAAATTTTTTGAGAAGCTCTCCAATCATTAAAATAAATACTAAATAAATGGGTTTGAAACAAGGCATAACAAGGTAGAAGTGATTTCGACATTTTCCTTTTTTGAACCGCGACTGAAATCTCAACTCTTAACCCTATACTCTTTTTAATTCAAATATTCAATTTTTAACTATGCGACTGATTTTAAATAAATAATAAATGAAAAGGAATTACGGGCGGTATGTTGTGTTTTGGCAAAAGCCATGACAAGAAACTTGTGCGTTACTTTAAACCTCCTAATTGAAGGGATTAGAATCAAAAGGATCTAAGTAGGTCTGACATTGTTTTAAGATAATTAAAGTTAAAGTTAATTACTTAATGTAAATTCTGGGTAAATTCATTTAAAATGATTCTTGCTGAAAAGAAAGCAGGTTAATTAACTAATTCAAAGAATATTTACTCTCTGTCACCAAATAAATACTATATTTAACTATACAAATATGGGTATAACTTACATTTTCAAAAAATGTCACTTAGACCCTTATGATTCTAACCCCTTCAATTGTCAAGTAACGCGACAACGATGGGCAAATTGCTACGATGTTTCATTAGGAGACTCTTCACCATTTTAGTGCTAGTGACTTTATTTGTTGCCCATCGCAGTCAAGTATTTCTAAGCGGACGCGATTGCTCCCAGGTGCAGGATTTATCACACCGAATATGAAGAGAAAATTTCCCACTCATATACATGGATAGACAAAATTTCAATTGGTGGTCTGATAAAACCTAAACCAGAATTCAATGTTGACATAAAAGAAAGGAAGTAATTTTTAATAAATATAATGGAGAGGAAATTTCGAATTGCAAAATTTTAATACCTAAATTATTGAAGTTAAGTTTTGATGTAAATTTAGGAGAATAAAACTTTTTATTTAAAGACTTATATACTTTAGAAGTAAGTATTTGGCCAGTAAAAGCAAAAAAATTGCTAAAACGGTTTTATAAATGAGTGACGTGTTTTTTTACGAGGAGGAAGCATCGAATGCCTATACCCGTGAGTGTGGGACTTTAACCCGAACTAAACCTCCTATTGTCCAAGTACCGAACCCCCCAGTATCACAGTCAAGTATTTCGTCGGGAGGCGGTTGAACACTAGGCCACTAGGCACGTTCATTCCAGTTGGTTGTACTCAGTCCTGGGCTACACCTAGAAGGCTTTGCCACGTCTTGTTCAAAGAGAAAGATCGCTTTTTTATACTATTTATTTATTTATCTCATGGATACCACTTATTATTTTCGCTTTTATAGACAGCAAGAACAAATACCTTAAAATGACGGCATGCTTTATGCCTGTTTTTTGACGCTGGTAGTGCATTGAGCAGGCTTGCATAAGAGACAAGTTTCAGGCCCGTATACGTATGTATGTATACTGCCTTTGCGGCGGGAACGGTCTTTGTTCCAATCCGCACCAACGCCCCGTGTGCACGAAATTCGAAACTGCATTTTATTTGCGACTGGAACACCCTAAGTTCCAGTCCGCGCCTATTTTCGAATGCACAAATTTTCGAGATTGCCACCTGGGCGGCTGGAATGCCCTAGGTTCCAGTTCATGCCTATTTTTCGATTGCACAAATTTTCGAGATTGCCACCTGGACGGCTGGAACGCCCTAAGTTCCAGTCCGCGCTTACGCTTTAATTGGTCAGTTTCATGTTCAATGGACGGTCTGAAAGCACAAGTTTCTAAACTGCCGTGCTCGAGCGGCTGGAACGGCCTAGGTTCTAGTCCGCGCCTACGCTTTGTGTGGTGAACATCATACTTTAGTTCCAGTCCGCGGCTATGCTAAGAGTTGGCTTAATCACGGGTGATACACCGCTGTCTCTCTAGGCCCCTCAGTTCCTTCAAAATTTAAGTTAGTGTGTCGCTTGTTGATGCCCATTCACTGGCTCCTTTCACCATATAGTCATGGGCGTAGCCAGGTAGGGGCAGGGGGGTGCTCGACCCCTTCCCCCTTAACTTTAAAATTTTCCTTAGATATAAATAAAATAGTACCTTGAAATGCCAGCTTAATAGGGTCGAGCCACCCCCTAAATTTCATTCTGGCTACGCCGATGCATATAGTCGACTACTGACTGGCGTAAACACCCCTCCAACAGCTAGTTTCAGTTGGTTCATCTGCCGATGGAATCGTGGGCGCTCAAAGAATACGTGGTGGGCATATTCTTCCACGCCACTTTGACAGAAGTCGCAGTACGGGCAGAGAACGTCTATGAATGAGAAGGCGCATTTTCGCTGTGAACTAATTTCTGCCAGAAATTTTGGGGTGCAGTCGGCCAAATATACCACACGTCGACGAGTGCACCACTCGACCGACGGTGTCGGTAGAGAAGTGTCGGCTGCCACCATACCAAAAATTTTTCCGTGCCACCACACTTTGAGCAAATTGACCATAGTTCAAAGCAAAATGAAAAAATAAGAACAAAATGGAAAGAGGAACAGAAATATAATAAGCACTAGACAGAGGGGATGCTTGCGGAGGCAGGCGCGTGCTTGTGTCGGATCAAAACAAACTCTAAAATAAAAATGGTAGTCAGAACGACAAGTGTACAAAAGAAGCGGGGAAACGGGGAAAGGAGCGGGCTTTTGTACATTTGCTTGCTTGCCGAAAATATGATATTTGCGTGAAATCGATTTGCTGGTTGCAAATTCATTTTTGCAAACATGTATGAATTTTTCTGTTTCAGCTATGTTGATGAGATTTTCTAAGTCAATTTTTTCGACTTTTTTCCGCAATTATCTAAAGTCATGTAAAGTGGAACTTTTTCAATAAAACTATTTCATTACAATTTAATGAAACATATGTATGTATGTATGTATATATTTACTTATGCACATACACATATATACGTACATACATATACATATCTATGAATTGTAGCAATTCATTAAATTGCATTAGTGTATGCATGCGCAGTCGGCTAATTTTTACATTTCCATTTGCCGACGGCATTTTGCATGCGCAAGAATTTCCTGTTGCTAAAAAATTGATGTACAAATAAAAGCGTTGTAAAAATATACTTACTTATGTAATACAATTATGTTGACATTATGTTATGTTATTAATTATGTTGTTTATACAGAACGTAGAAAAATTCAACAAATGTTGATCTAAATTTTCTAATTTTTAATCGAATGGCCTTATTCATTAAA